GTACAGAAATGAGCGTGGATAATCGTTGGGTGGTTCCCTATAATCCACTGCTATCACGAATTTTCAATGCGCACATTAACGTAGGGTTTTGTCAATCGGTCAAAGCTATTAAATACATCTGTAAGTATATTCATAAAGGTTCTGATCAAGCCACATTTTCGTTACAAAGTAATAACGATGAAGTAGAAAAATATCTATATGGTCGCTATATAAGTTCCTCGGAGGCGTTTTGGAGAATTTTCTAATTTTCTATTCATGAACGTTTTCCGGCAGTAGTTCATTTAGCCGTTCATTTGGAAAATGGACAAAGAGTATATTTTTATAATAATGAAAATCTCCAAGATCGTGTGAACAATCCTTCATCAACGACACTTACAGCGTTCTTTGATCTCTGCAAAAGCGACGATTTTGCAAAAACCCTTTTATATCACGAAGTTCCCCAGTATTACGTTTGGCAAAGAAATTCATTTTCTAGAAGAAGACGCGGGCAAATGTTGAGGGATATCCCGGTGTAAAAAAAGACACAAATTTAGGCCGTGTTTATAACATTCATCCAACTCAAACTGAATGTTTTTATTTAAGAATGTTATTGCAATATGCTCGCGGTCCAATGTCATTTCAACATCTAAGAACCGTGAATGGTTTTATTTTCCAAACGTACCAAGGCGCTTGCAAGGAATTAGGTTTACTGGAAGGAGATGAACATTGGCAAAATACCATATCCGATGCTATCATATCCGAGCCAGCTACAAAATTAAGAGAATTATTTACCACTATCCTTATATTTTGCCAACCATCTGACCCCTTAGAGTTATGGAATAAATTTCGTGATGCTTTATGTGAAGATATATTAAACAGAATGCCTAATGAGAATCAGGATATGACATTAGCATATTATGATGATATATACAATGATGGACTAATCATAATTAAAGATAAAATTCATGAGATTTCAGATAAATCCCTAACCGACTTTGGGCTTCCTACAGCAAAAAGAAATAATTCGCTTCTGGACCCGTTAGAAGTAGCGTTGCGAAAACCATATAACATAAATGAATTAAATGAGTATATCACACAAAATGAACCAAGATTAGTTAATGACCAGGTGACAACGTATACTTGTGTCATGAAAAGTGTTCGTTTTAATGAAGGAAGAATTTTCTTTTTGGATGCTCCCGGTGAGACCGGCAAGACATTTATCACTAATCTTATATTAGCAAAAGTAAGGTCTCTAGGAAAGCTAGCCTTGGCAGTAGCGTCGTCAGGTATTGCTGCAACCTTATTAGCAGGTGGACGCACAGCTCATTCCACTTTTAAACTGCCCCTAACTGTGTCTTTAGAGAAAGATAGCGTGTGCTCTATACGCAAAAATGGCCCTTTGGGGAAAATTTTACAAGACGTCAGTCTAATGATCTGGGACGAATGTACCATGATACATAGAGCTCACGTAGAAGCTCTAGACAGAACTCTTAGAGATCTTAGAAGCTGTGATAAAATCATGGGTGGGATTACTGTTATGTTTGCTGGGGACTTTCGCCAAACTTTACCGGTAATAGTAAGGGGAACTAGAGCAGACATTGTGAAGGCTTGCCTTAAAAGTTCTCCATTATGGAAATTTGTAAATATTTTAAAATTATCGACAAATATGAGAGCACATTTGGGGGGAGGTAGTATAACTTTCGCTTCAAAATTACTTTCTGTAGGAGACGGGAAAATACCTCATTCTAATAATAAAATTGAAATTGATTGCGATTTAGGAGTAAAAGTGGGTAACATCGAGGAATTAGTAACTAAAGTATACCCTGACATCAGCCAAATAGAAAACAAGGACCATCAATGGATGTGTCAAAGAGCAATATTGGCGGCAAGAAATAGTAGCGTTGACGAAATAAATGATATCATTTTGAGTAAACTCCCAGGAGATATTGTAACCTACACCTCCATTGATACCGTGATGAATCAAGAAGATGTAGTTCATTACCCACAGGAGTTCCTCAATTCCTTGAACCCCAGCGGCCTTCCCCACATTCTCTTAAGTTAAAAATAGGTGCCCCAATAATTTTACTAAGAAATCTCAAACCACCAAATTTATGCAATGGGACCCGACTTCAAGTAAAATTTCTGCGCAATAACGTCATCGTTGCAATAGTTTTGACTGGTCCAGCAGTTGGTCAAACAGTCCTCATACCCCGCATCCCAATGATACCCAACGACTTACCTTTCAATTTTAAAAGAATACAATTTCCGCTTAAATTATCTTTCGCAGTCACAATAAATAAATCACAGGGGCAAACATTCAAACACGTGGGGATCGATTTACGCCAAGACTGTTTTTCGCACGGCCAGTTATATGTCGCGTTATCAAGATCGGGTTGTGGCGAAAATCAATATGTTCTTCTGCCACAAGATAATAAAACAAAAAATGTAGTATATGCAGAAGTTCTTTAAAATAATAAAATTTACTTTAAAAATTGTACAGATATAGTTTGGAACTCGAAAAAAAAACATAGGTTTTATCCTGAAAATTCTGCGGGAACTCGACCATTCCGAAAATCCCGCAAGAACGGGAACTATGTGGGAAGAACCAAAAATCTGCCGGAAGTCACTATTCCACGCGGACGAAGTCGCGGGCAAAAGCTAGTTTATTTATATATTAAAAGTGCATGAGGTCTAACAAAGAATGATATGGAAAAAATTGTTCAGTTTGACTTAGATGATTGTATGGATGAGGAAAATTAAGAAGAAGAGCAGGACAGAACAGTAACTTTAGGGAACGTTTTTGAAGAAACATTGAATAATATAGAAATTAGTATGATTGACGCACTAATAGGAAAAGGAAATGACGGAAAAAGAATTGAAAATGAAGATATTGAACAGGACGAGATGGAGAAAATTGATTCGCAAAGTTTAAGGTAGAGAAATGCAGAAATACTGGGAAAAGCGAAGTGCGCAGCAATGAGTTGAAAGAGCCAATCAATTTTTTTACCCAATCCTTTATTGACAAAATCTGGCAACAAACTTGTTTGCGGCACACACTTATGGAACGGAGATAAAAGTAATGTTACAGAAATTGAAAGATATATGTATATTACTATATCTTGCTAAAGTAAATATTCCAACGTATAGAATGGCATGAGCATAAAAGTTCCAACTGATCGCTGTTACAAATTCTTTGAAATCTATTTTTTAAAAATAAAAAAAGGTATTATAAATTCCCCATGACGGATTCCAAAGCTTTGATGAGCAAAGGATAGCATATAACGGCAATAAACGGTATGTACATACAAGTATATAATATTTGCAAACGATTTCTATCTTATGGCAAAAAATTTTTTATATGCTAATATAGTTTGAAACAGTATCTGCTAAATGATTGAAAAATGGTGCTCTATGCAGTGAGAAAGAACTTTAAAAACGATTCCGCGGATCAAGCGATTAATTGTGTTCAACTGCTATTTCAACGCCTTCTGAATCAACCTGCTATAAGAGAGCATATTTTGAAGAACCTGCAAAATCTACACAAATTTCTGCAAAAAAATTGTTTTGTTTCTTTTCACATTTCAATATAAAATGCAATAATAAAATCTACATATTTTTTTTTAATTTATCACCACTTCCCAATGTTGCCTATAGTCAACATCCTGTATCTAGGGAACCAGGATACCAAGGACTTTGAAATTTTTGTCTGTTCATACTTGCGTCATGACTAAAAAAAACGGTTCTGATATATTTTTAGCTGCTCCGATTTTATGGTGATTCGAGCATGAGAGGGTTAAGTCGACAATCAACTGCTCAGACCCTCTGATACATGGTCAAAGAAAATTACTTTGCGAAAAAAGTCGATTCTATTAAAATCAGTTCTTGAGTTACTTGAATAATATTAGAACTTTCTTTTTTCTCATTTATCAACGTAAGCTATATAAAATAAAATTTAATTCGTTATCATTACAATTATTTCCCCCAAATTTTGTTACTTTTATTTATTTATTACTTTTATTACTAATTAATAAATATACTAGTCAAAAGCAAAGCAAAATATCTTGTGTTTTTTACCAAATATTTTTCAATGGGCGGAAGGCGGCGTGAGTAGTGGGAGAGGAGTTTGGAGAGTTTGATTAATGGTAATATTATTATTTATTACTTATTATAAATATATAATGTGGAGAGAAAAAGTTTATTTGGATATGGAGAGTGGAATTATTTTTGGCCGCTGACTCCATACAAAACCGACCACTGTGCAATGACTGAAAAAGGGGACCTTAGTTTTACAATTTTGCATAATAATCAATATTCACACCCTTTGTATTAAATTGAGGTGGTATCCATTACTTATTGTAGTTTTCCCCAAACTTAGCGCTCGCCTGATCTATGTATAACAAAGTATTTAGGACTCCTTGCAATAATCGAAAGTCTTACCTATTGAGAAAGTCTTTAGTTCTGCATGTCTAAGGAGTGTACAGGGTTATATTAAGTTGTATGTGATTTTTAATACTCTGAACAGCGTGCCACAAATTCTGTAGCACCCAGAAGGAAGGATCGTAGACCCTGTAAAATATATACATAAATGATCAGCGTGACAAGCTAAACTGATTCAGCCATATCCGTCTGTCTGTCTGTATATGCGCAAACTAATCCCTAAGTTTTTGAGATATCGCTCTAAAGTTTTGAAAAAGTCTTCTCCCAAGAAGCATACAAACTGAACAAGCAAAAAAAAACACTGGTATTAAAAACTTTTTGATTTGACAAGATACGAGTAAGTATCTTCACGAATTTAAACGTTTATTATTTTTAACGCTACAATATCTAAAGAAGTTTTCCAGATCGAATCACTATAGCATTTAGCTGTCATACAAACTGAACGATCAAGTTGTGTAGGGTATTCTAGCTTCAGTGCTACCAAAGTTAACGGTATTTCTTGTCTTTATCGTGAGTTATCGCTTCCATAGACAGATTGCTTTCTTTAAACAGGTTGCTAAAGTATAAACATTTTTTGTACTTACCTGTATAGTTGAAATGTTCGTGGTGATGCGTTTATGGATATGGGTATCGGCCCAATGTGAGCTACTGCTGTTTTTATAGCTTTTTCATCCTTAGTTGGGAGTACTGCCCAAGAGGTTACATTTACAACAGCCAGCTCTGCGGCAAATTGACATTTATCCTTCTATTGAAAAAAATAAAGTTTTTTTTTTATATTAGAAAGAGTAAAAATAAACTAAATTCTGGCAGAACAAATTAATTATGCTCACGCCTTGTTTGTGACCATAGAGAGGCATTATTTCAGATTTATCAGTGACGCAATCAGTAAAATCGGATATTGGTTAAATGAAATTTTGAGAAAAATATCCACTAATTGTAACTGTTGTGTAACCAATGACCCATACTGACACTGATCGGATCAATGAAATATACTCTACTGTTCTAATAGTAACTCAGCAATCAAAGCAAAACAAGAAAAACGTTAACTTCGGTTGTACCGAAAACATTATACCTTTCACAACTACAAAAATTACATACAGGAACTTGGCTTTAACAAGCCAGTTTGTTTGGCAGCTACTCGTATATACTATAGTGATTCGATCTAAGCAATTTCTTCGGAGAGCGTACCGTTGCTTTGAACAAAAACTCACGCTGAATTTCGTGAAAATATTTTGACAAATAAAAAAAGTTTTCCATACAAGGACTGACAGTTTGCATGGCAGCTATATGCTATCGTTGTCTGATTTCGGCGGCTATGACAAATGAGCAGCTTCTTGGGCGGAGAGCGCGTGCAAAATTTTAGATCGATATCTCAAAAACTGAGGGACTAGTAAGCGTATATACAGGTGGACAGACAGACAGATCATTTATATCCATATACTTTATAGGGTCTCCGAAGTTTTCTGTTGAGTGTTACAAACAGCGTTGCAAATTTTATGTATCCTGTTATGTATTAGGCAGACCGGAGCTTTAGGAAAAAGGGTTAGTGCAGGTTGAATATTTTGGTGTGGTCTTAGTTTATCTAGATTTTCTAGGAAACTATTTTCTAGAGGTTAAAAGACTTGAGAATCTTGGTAACAGTAAACAAAAGAAAGTGCTCTTTGTGCCTCCCAAAAATTCTAAAGGAAAAGTGTTGGCTAAAAAAAGTGGGCGTGGCCTCCTATTAGGTTTAAAGTACATATATGTATTTCTCCAATAAATATAAATCGACCAAACTTACTGAGAACAAGTCCTTCCACACATTGTCCTTACATTGTTTTCCATATATCACACTGCGAAAATGATCGAAATCCGTTTACAACCACGCCTATTCCCCATATATAACAATGTTAATTTTCATTAAGTTCTTTAACTTTACAGTATATAAACCAAGGACCAATGAAGTTACATGGAACATAACTTTGCGCAAATGGTGCTTAAAAACTTTAGAAACTAGACCATAACTTCTCAACCCACCCATATACCAAATACATATGTGGACAACAGCGCCTATGGCTGTCTCGAAAATATCTGTGAAATATATTGCGGCGAACACGATTGCTGGAACAAAATAGAATCGACGACAAATTGCTAGAATCAATCAGACACCGAACTTCGTAGTTGCCAGAATGTTCGAGTGGTGATATTTTGGTAAGAATCTACTATATAAGGGCTGCCGGTTTATACAGCAGACACAGTTCTAGTTAGAGTGCTGCTTTGTAAAGAACTATAAGCAATAAGTTGTAAACTCAAATAACGAGTAATAAGCGTCAAGTTTTTTCAAATTAGAAATAAAGATAAGTGTACGAGTATAGCCATTAAATTGGGACTTTTATTTAACAACCTAGTGATCGAACTGAAGAAAGAGTTTCAACGTTGACCATTTATTGAGAAATTCGTTACAATTGGTGTCAGAAGTAGGGTTGTCAAATAAATTCCCAAGGAATGAAAAATGGCTACGTTTAACGATCTGATCATTACACAATTTAAAAAGGACCTGGAACAACATTGTTTGGCAACATATGGAATAAAGTCCAAGTTACAATCACGGTTACGGGAGGCCATGGAAGCAGGAAACATTAATAATAACGAATATGTCTCAGTTGGAATTAGAGGAAGAGACTACGAAGATAAAATAGGTCACAGGTTATGAACATAAACATTATTGTTGCTGCGATGTCGCAGATGTCAGCGCAAATGTCGACGCTGGCGACCTCACAAATGGCAAAGGTGTCAACACAAATGTTGGCACAATTGGATGCGAAGTTAGAGGCGCTGTTCGCAACGCAAGATTCACGTAAATAAACACTGGATTCGAAAAGACGGCATCTGCAAATAAGGTAAAGTAGCTTCATTGTTTGTTGCAATAAAAGGAGCTGCATATTACTAATCATTCCAAACTGCGAATCGAGTAATTAAGAAACGTTGTGGGTGCAATAGAAAGACGCTTATGTAGTGAGCACAGCAGATCTTCGAAATCGAGTTGGAAAATTGTCGCCAGAAAGCCCATGAGTATCTGCAGGAGTAATTTCTACAGAGATTGACTGGTTAGCTTAATTGACGTTTGCGGAAAATGTTTTATATACTCTGACCCAGGGAACTGCATCTCTACTCAGCAATCGAACAATTAAATCTCATCAAGAGAAATAGGAAAACCTGGGTGAACCAATTACTTGCAAAAGTTGAAGAAAATATGCAGAAAGTACTGGAAAAATCTACAAAAACACGTAGGAAAAATGATGGTTGAATGCTTCAACTGCCAAAAAACTGGTCATATTGTACGCAATTGTAATATCGAATTTAACGCGTCCAATAATTCAGTTCGACGCATACGCAAGGTTGAGGAGGATACGGGCGCGTCATATGCCATAATTCGATCTGATCTGGTTCCTAAAGGAGTAAGACCATTAGCTGGGGCAGAAGTAAGATACGCAAGTTCTTGGAGAAGTAACGTGCGAGATCGTAATTGGAAAGGCTGCCATGGTACACAATTTTATAGTGGCAGATGGCGCTGACGAAGTCATAATTGGAGTAGACTTCCTAGCAAATCAAGGAATCAAAATCGACATGAAAAACAGGATTATGACTTATACAAATATGGAAGTGAAACTTATGTTCGGTTATGATAACAAGTACAACGTTAGGCGAGTGATAATAGCAGAGAGTCATAAGCAATCATTTGGGCAGAAATAAATGGAGACTATGGGGAAACAAGTTCTGGGTTGTGAAACCATTGAAGAATTACATCAAACTTACTTATAGGCAATACTTTGTTTATGACAGTACAAGAAAAAAGTCTTTGAGTAAGAGTACTTAATGAGTTCGAGTCACCAATCACACTTTCCAGCGGAGCTATATTAGTGTAGTGTCAAGAGGTTGATACCGTGATGAAGTGCGAAATCCGTCTTGAAGAAGATTCCATGGCCGAAAATGACCTATTGAGCGAAATTAACGCACGGACCGAGAAACTAGAGGCAGATCTTCAAAATGAGGTTAAACAACTCCTTCTCAGATACTCATCCATACTTGATAACGACGATTTCAAATCAGGAACAACCAATGTTGGGAAACATTTTATTCACACAGATGACGCAAGACTAATTCGTCACGTTCTCAAAGCGTTCCATTAGCAAAACGTGAAGTTGTAAGCCAAACCATACGTGAAATGAGCGAAAGCAACGTAATCGAACCAGCAGCGAGTGCATGGAGTCCACCTGTAGTACCTGTGAAGAAGAATGATAATAACTTGAGGATTTTCGTGAAACGTTCAATGATGTAACGAAGAAAGACACAACCTAGAATAGATGACACTCTGGACTCGTTGTTAGGCACGAGATGCTTCCAAACACTTGATTTAAAAAGACAATATCACCGTATTGGGTGAAGGCTTAGATGAACACCTTAAGAACTTAGAAGAGGTTTTCAAACTGATAGCTAGCGCTGGTCTAAAGCTGAGCCCAAAGAAGTTATCCCTTTTCAAAAAGGTAGTAAGGTACTTAGGACACAAAGTGACAACGGAGGGCATTTGCACAGCTAATGAAAAAATAGAGGCAGTAAAAGATTGACCCACTCCTTAAAATGTACATGAATTGAGGAGTTTCCTTGGATTGTGTACTTATTATCGACGATTATCCAAATTTTGCCTGCGTCACTAGTAACCTTCATGAAATGACGAAAAAGAGTAGAGACTTTGAGTGGAATAAAGAACAGGAAGTGGCTTTTTAAACTCTGAAGAAACGGTTAAGTACTGCACCAATGTTAGCATACCCGATCCCAGGACCACCGTTTATTTTGGATACTGATGCTGATGGGTATGCAGTAGGAGTCGTTTTATCGAAAGTCATTTACGGCCATGAGAAAGTGGTTTCGTATTACAGCCAGACAATAAGTGATTATTGTGTAACTTGGAGGGTGAAATACATTACTGGAGTTGGAGAAATGAATCAAACATTGTCACAAGAACTTCTATGGCCACGTTTTCTCGTAAGGACAGATCATGCAGCATTTAAATGGCTTCTCCAATTCAGGAACCCAGAAGGCCAGTTGGCATGATGGATCGAGAGACTCCAAGGTTACGACTTCTCTATAGAACATTGCAAGGGCGGTTGTCATAGAAATTCGGATGCTATTTCCCGCCGCCCCTGTAGTTTGGAATGCAGACATTGCTTAATGGCTGAGACTAAAGAAGACATTATCGATGTCCGATTAATGACAGTAACATCAGATTGGGATCCGGAAGAACAACGGATATGTCAGCAAGAAGATCCAGATTTGAAATGTATGATACATGGATTGGAGATGAATAAACTGCCCACAAGAGAAGAAATAGTTAAAGAAAGCCCAGGCGTAAATGCTTATTGGGCTCAATGGAATAGTTTAAAATTAGGGTCTGGCTGCTTGCATCGCGTATGGGAAGCAAAAATCCAGAGCTCTGATGATTATCCCGAAGGTAAGAATACACGAATTTCTCAACCAGCTGCACAACGGATCAGTGTAGGACAGAGTGGGTATCACCTTGGAAAAATTTAAACAAAGATTTTACAGGGTTGGTTGTCGTTAATCAGTTACGAAGTGGATCGCCAATTGTGTCGAGTGCATTACTGCCAAAGTGCCGAGGTCCAGGAGTCATGATCAGATGAAACAGTTCAACTCGGGTGTGTCATTTGATCGAATTGCCATGGATATAGCCCATTTCCTATCAGCAAATTAGAAAAAAAATATGTTTTGGCAAATTCCTAAGCAAAAGGCAGAGACAGAAGTGAATGTATTCACCAAAAATTGGGTATTAAGATATGGTGTTCCAATAGAATTACATTCTGACCAAGAGAGAAATTTTGAATGAGCTCTAGCTCACGAGATGTGCCAGAAACCGAGTAACCGGAAAACCCGTACAACTACACTACATCCGCAGTCCGATGCCATGGTAGAACGATTCAATCACACTTTGTAAGAAAATTTGATCAAAGTATCATAAATATTGGGATACCCATTTTCCTTGCTTCTGATGGCTTATCGGTTCGCTGTACATACATAAAAAAAACGGGGCAGACTCCAGCAAGGGTAATATTTGGTAATGATCTTCGGCTACCGATTGATTTGAAGTTTGGAATTAACGGCAACGGAGGAGACAAGGCATCGAACTCTCAGTGAAGGCGATTGGGTACTGTTATTAAACCCACAACGAAAGAAAGGGCTGTCTCCCGAAATACAGCGTAATTGGGAAGGACCATACCAGGTTATTAAACGACTAAACGATGTAGTGTATCGCATACAGACTATTGGAAAACCTATGAATAAAATTAAGGTAGTTCATCTGGAACTGCTTGCAGCTTTTGGTACCGCAAATATATCTAATCCGGATGATCAGACTTAGGTGGATGGCAGTGTGGCTAACACGATTGCCCAAACAAAATAGAATCGACGATGAATTGCTAGAACAAACTAGATAGGGAAATTCGTAGTTACTAGAATGTTCGGCGAAGTTTTGTTAACAATCTACTATATAAGGGCTGTCGGATTGTGCGGCAAACACAGTTCTAATTAGAGTGCTGCTTAGGAAAGAGTTATAAACAATAAGTTGAAAACTCGAATAACGAGTAATAAGCGTTAAGTTGTTTGAATTAAAAATAAAGATAAGTGTATAGCGATAAAATGGGGACTTTTATTTAACAATTTAGTGATCGAAGTTAAAAAAAAGATTTTACGTAAACGATTTATAGAGAAATCCGTTACAATATTACTTAAATTTAGAAAGAATCTATACTAGATAATATCGTACTCTTTTTGCCCTTTTCGAAATGGGTAGTATCTGGTCAATACTTTCCTTAGCCAAACTTCCTGCCCATCTTAAATTTTCCTAGATATCTTACATATTAACCGATTTCTGCAACCGAATGGCAAAAGGCTAATGCAATGTAGAGCAGTGCTGCTAGATCTGCGGATATATCCGGATTCACCGGATTTATCGAGTCTGCTAAAGGTCTTGCGGATTTAAATTCGGATTTTATGATATACCTGGATTGTTCCGGATTTTAAACGTTCCATGTCAAAATGTCTATTTTCCTTTTTTATATAATACAATATATATAATATGAATTTGGAAAAAAAAGCATATGGGTTTTTCTTTTCAAAAAGCGAAGATAGAAAAAAACACACTTTTTGCTAGGAAGATTAAGAAAACGAAACGCAGTCGGACTCCGACCTCTCTTATTTTCACTTGCTCCTTTTTCTACTATCTTTCTCTCACTCTCTCAATGGTTCTAAATATACGGTATTGCTGAATTCGATGTTTGATTAACAGAAATTTCCAACGTAAAAAGCTGAGAAGCATTAGCTCGAATTTTTTTTTAAATTAATCAATACTTAAAAGGCTGTAAGTATCCTTATGTTTTATGCTAAGTATATTTTATAGTTGAATGGAAGACTTGTTCAAAAAAGTAACTTCCTGCTATTTAAAAGAAGATTATGTCCAAAAAATTCAATGGGGAGTTTACAGAATTTGACAAATTGTCAAAATAATCAATTGAATTGCGATTCTTGTTAGATGTGGATATTGGGCTAAAAGTAAGCAAATCAAGATATCGATTTCTTTCGTGAAAAATGTAGGCAATTTTATATAACTTTGGCTACAGAAATCAACAAATGTTTTATATTTGCTGAAAAAGATGTTCAGTCTTGTTTTTTTAGATCCAAATCATTTGCCGCGCACACGAAATATTGCTAAAGTTGTTGTTTTTTCTGATTCATTCTACAGAAAACTCACAACGAGTTCAGTAGAGTGAAAGGATTGTTTCAGAACGGCAAAAACCCTCTGAATTTCTGGAAGAACGTCGCTGCTACAACACTTGGCAATGGTTCCCAGAGTTTATACTAGCTATCAAATTAGTTGACAAAATTCAAGTGCTTCCACATTCTTCCGCTAATTGCGAGAGTTTTATCCCAAACCAATTTGAATAAAACTAAAAAGCGCAACATTAGACAACTGTGTAAAGAGTATTATTCGATTTTTGATGTGGACTATACAAAGTTACTTAAAGACATGAACAAAGACATCTAAGAATAATTGTAGTACTCATTATTTTTAAAGAATGTAATAGAGCGAAATTTGACTAAATGTAGTTTCAAAATTTTTTTTTAAAATTCCAATGTTAAAATAATATAGTATACATACGCGCCGCTTTTTTAAAATTAGAGCACAGAAGAGAGAGAAGCACTACATGTAAATAAAAAGACATCATATTTTCGAATATAATAGGTTATATACATACAATATACATTTTCTTGTAGAACTTCTATTACATCGTACATGTAAATATGAATCTTGCTTTGCTTTTATGTAATTTTATACCCTATATTGTACATAAATAGTACCTTCAAGACGTTTTATATAGAAAATATGTGAAGTCGGCTTTTTCCGTATTTTTCAAATCTCCCCTCAACACTTTCTTCGAGATGTGCAGATTTAACGCGCGGCAGATGTGGCAGCACTGATGCAAAGAACACCGAATGCGACTAAAAGGTAAACCACGGTGTTTTGGCAAGATTCTAATAATTAAATTTATTAGTAAACAATTAAGAGAGGGCTAATTTCGGGTGTAACCCAACATTTTGTTCTTTAGCAATTTCTGCCGCTCAAAAGACGGTACAATATTTTCAAGTGTTGACAAAACTTTATATTAAACAAGTAAGGAAGGGCTAAGTTCGGATGTAACCGAACATTTTATACTCTCGCAAAGTCAAATAGTATACTCGTTTGAGATTTCTTGGTGAATTGACTGATATTTTCGGTAGAAGGTCAACTATAGGCACTGGGGCCCACATATTTAGTACTCAGGGGCTTAAACAGTTTTGGTTCGATTTAGACAATTTTTGGCCACAAGGTGGCATACTTTAATCGCATAATTCACGCAAAGTTTTATTCCGATACAGTCATTGTTGCCTGATTTGCATAGTGGAAAGTGAAAGAATCAGGTGGAATTTAAAATGGTGTTATATGGGAAGTAGGCGTGGTTGTAGTCCGATTTCGTCCATTTTCGCACTATGACATAGAAACATGAAAAGAACGTTACGCACCGAATTTGGTTGAAATCGGTTAAGCAGATCTCAAGATATGGGTTTTCACCTAAAAGTGGGCTGTGCCACGCCCACTGTCTAATTTTGAACTTGGTTCCTATAAAGTCATCTCATACCATCCCAGAGATAAAATTTAATGTCTCTGGCGTGTTTAGTGCTTGATTTATCAGGCTTTTAGTAGTTTTTAACAGTACCGTTATATGGGGAGTGGGCGGAGTTGCCACCCGATTTCAACTATTTTCTCACCGTCAATAGAAGTGCCAAAAACATTTGCTTCCAGTGAATTTTGTTATTATAGCATTAGCGGTTTGGGAGATATGCACATTAAACCTATTAAAGGCGGGACCACGCCCACTTAAAAAAAAAAATTTAACTGCAGATGCCCCTCCCTAATGTGATCCTGTGTACCAAATAACAGTCTTGTATCTTATTTCAATGGCAATTTATTTGTTTTTGATTAATAGCGTTTTGTGGGCGTGGCAGTGGTCCGATTACGCCCATCTGCAATACCAATCGTCTCACGGTACCAAGAAACATGTCTACCAAGTTTTATAAAGATATCCAAATTTTTACTCAAGTTAGAGCTTGCACGGACGGACGGACAGACAGTGACCCGGATTTCAACTCGTCTCTTCATCCTGATCATTTATATATACATAACCCTATATCTAACTCGATTAGTTTTAGGTGATACAAACAACCGTTAGGTGAACAAAACTATTATACTCTGTAGCAACAGGTTGCGAGAGTATAAAAATGTTGCGAAAGAATTCAACATTCATTGTTCAATGAAATCGAGAACGGATTACAATAGTAATTACCTTTGATACATATTTATAATCCTGTTCGCGCATCAATCCACCCGTCGCCTCCAAATATTTAAGGGTATTCCTTAAAGATCCACCAGTACAACCCTGATTCCCAAATGTTACGCTGCAATCTACAATTTGCTGTGGACTAAAAAAAGATTTTCTATATTTTAGAAAGTGTTAATTTTAGTTAATCTAAAAAAAGAAAAAACGTTAACTTCGATTGCACCGAAACTAACTATAATACCATTCACAAATACAATAAATATAGTTTAAAAAACTTAAGACACACGCTTTTAAAGAATATCGAACTAAAAAGTAATTTTAAAAATTAACTTAAACAAATAATATATAAAAAATACTAGTATAATTGAGAAAAAGGCTTAAGGCGCTTTGTGTCATAATTTTCGTATATCGAGCGCTCCACGCTTTTTCCTCAATTATACTAGTATTTTTTATATATTATTTGTTTAAGTTAATTTTTAAAATTATTTTCAACTTTTTAGTTCGATATTCTTTAAAAGCGTGTGTCTTTAGTTTTTTTAAACTATATTTATTTTCAATTTTTTAGTTCGATATTCTTTAAAAGCGTGTTTTTTTAATTTTTTTATTTTAAACTATATTTATTGTATATTAATTGATAGTTGTTCGATAAGATTGAATTTGAAAATGAATAATGATAATGAATAACTTCTCATTTATTTAATTCTTGTTTATTTTTTATTAAATTCCGTATTTTGATCTGCCATTAAAAAATTTTATCCTAAATATTATAATATTTGTTCTGTCTGTTCAGTTGATTTGTTCCGTTTAAGATGTCAAAATATGCCTAAAAGTATGCAAACATTTTGCGCATACTTTGTAATCGAGTTTAGTTTAGTTACAAACAGACATACAAGTGAAACTAATATAATAATATAAGCAGAGAACGTAAATGAATAGAGAAGGAGCAAATGTTAAATGAAATCTTTTTGAGTACTAATTTGTAGTTCCAGATGAGGGAACTTAGAAAAATAGAACTTCGAAAAATAAAAATACACCACGCAATGTGCGAAATGCTATAAATAGACACAACGAATATTCCTAAATGAAAAATCGTTGCGCATACCTATTTAGATTTATGTTTTCAATTTATATGAAATGACAAATTTATAATTATGAAAAGCCTTCTTAAAAATCTGTATTATCGGTAAAAACCCCAGAATTCATAATAAAATAAACATTTAATAGGCTATTTTTCCAACTTATGTATGTGCGTTATGTGAGCAATTGCTTATTAAACAAAGGATAACAATAAAACGGTGGCTAAGCGGCCGCGTTTCCACTTTTGTGGTGGCTGAGCGGGAAGGGGTTAAGCACAATCCGAATACGAACCTATACGTTCGAATCCTAAAACTCATGAAACTGAAATTTTATTTAATTTTTTATTTTATTAATTGGAATCTAAGCATATCATAATTCAATTACTTTAATAGCATACTTAACTTCCTGAGATAATTAAAATATTTCAGGAAAATATGTTCATATGTTTGGGTTTATTGCATATTCCCTTATTTATGCGTATTTACACAAATGTGATAATCACACATACATTCTTAAATACACGTACGCTGATGCTTGCTTCTTCTTGCCCCGCACAAGCAATGACTTTTGTACACACTTTTTGCTTTTTGCGTGTTGAACGATCGCAGGTAAGGAGGGATTGGGGCGCACTGCCACATAATTATTTCAGATATATATTTTATTTATGAATAAATGTGTTTTTATATATATATATAATATATATTATATTACGAAAATAATTCATAAATGCATCAGTATTTTTCAATACAAATTAAGCAACATAATAATATACTAAGAGTCCTCAGTTAGAAAGCCTCTGTATATGGTGGCAAGCCAACGAAATAACGGCGAGTTCGCGTAGACATTGTGTTGTTGAAAAAACGAAAAGACGACTTTGTCGACAAACCTTCATACATAAAACCGAGCCCGCATACATATTGACGCCAAATTTTGCGGAGTTGACAAAATTTGTTTGAATCGACAATTTTGCGACAATGTCGGTCGGCTATGTTGTCTCGTTTGTCCTTTTTGCAGTGGTTTGCTATTGAAAGTTGACTTATGCTCTTTTGAAATATTGCGATTACCGATTGGGCTGCATTTTCATAGCGTCGTATTTAGATAAAATCGGCTAAATCGAAAAACTATGAAATAATGATAATAAGTAAACATATAAAAGTACTATATGCCGTGTGCATAGAATATATAGAAGTAGTTAAAGATTTCTTATGAATGGCAATTTTATATAAATTTTTTAATTTAATGCCATATTTAGTGCATAATATGCAAAGATATAAATATTATTTTAACTCGCTAAGAGGTCATGTTGCCAATTCTCCTTTCTGAAGGGAACATCAGACAAATTCTTCAATTTCTGATTTTTAGCATCGTTGCGAGTAGGCAGCTTGTGGGCAAAATACAAATGCGAGGGGAATGGTAGGATCAGTTGTAAAATTGAAACTTCTTCAATTTTACTGAAGACATTCAAATTCAATTTCATTCATTTTTATTCTCGCGCATTTGCGGTAGGAATTCTATATGAAAACCAAATGTGGTTTACCAGGCGCACAGGAAAAATAGCGCGGCGCAGAGTTATGAACGAGCGCACTTTGCTTTGAAGCAGACGCACGTTCCTTATGAATGAATTTGTTGTCGTTGTAATATGAAATACTTAGAAAATATGCCGCGAGCTCGCTTGAATATTATTGGCCGATGATGGTGCGTCTACGTTTTTTTGTCACTTGCGCGAATGTTTGATTTTTTGCGAAAGACATATTGAGGTACATACATATGTACATATGTGTACATATATGCAAATATATTTGGACATGCGAATGAAGGAAGGCAATTTCAAGAATATTCACATATAGACATATGTATATTGAAGCAAGTAAACAACAATAGCTGTTTGAGTTCACAGATTAGACAAAGTTGCATTAATATCGTCTGTGGTGCTGCTTGTATAGCAGATTTCTTTATTGCAACGTGAAATATTTTGCCTAAGTTCAAATCCTATCATATTTTTATATTGTCTTTTTTTATTTTTATAACCTCTTTTTATTAAATGAAATTTGAATTATATTTTAATATTATTTCCCTCATTATTTATATTTTCTTGTCGGAAGTCAATTACTTTCGTTTTTATTATTGCAATTTTTGTTTATGCGCATATCAAAGAACATCTGTGCATATGTATTGTATATAAGTACATACATTTTGCTTATAGAGTGGTGTAGTTCGTTGCGTAAATTGATAATTGTGGTGACATTTTATTTTCGAACTTGCGCGTTTTCGATGTTCCTTCATCGCAATTAACATTTTAGAACAGCTAACATTTGCTCCTTCTCTATTCATTTACATTCTCTGATATAAGCGTGTTAAAAAGGATTCTATAACAGAACTTGATTTTAATCGATCAGTTTGTATGACAGCTATATGCTATAGTGGTCCTATATTCGCGGTTTCGACAAATGAGTAGCTTCTTGGGGATAAAAGGACGTGTGCAAAATTACAGATATAACTCAAAATCTAAGCGACTAGTTTGCGAATATACAGACAGACGGACAGACATGGCTAAATTGACTCAGCTCATCATGATAATCATTTATATATAGGTCATTATATCCAAAATTCACATAAAAAATTTTTCGTACAAATTTAAATTTTTGTATTCTATGAGGCACGTATTTTTTAATTGTGACTAAATATGAAAAAATTTGGGAGTTATGAATTTTAAAAATTTCAACGCTTGAAAAAAGTACTTTTAAACATTTGCGTATACGAAGAAAGGTATTTCATTATAAAAACAACTAGCTGGTCTATCTTTTACAATGTTTTCTTTCTAATAAAATATACGTTGAATTTTTTTTACTTCCTTTATAAACAAAATGTACATTTTTACAAACAAATAACTTTTTCTTTCTATTTGGAACTATGCCTTTTTCTTAGTTTTTTTTTTTAATGAAAAATTTACATTAGGGTCTTTCGTGAGAATGGACCGTTACAAGCTTCGACCGCAATAAACTTGTAATATTATTCATTTTGCAATAACAAGTTAACCAGTTTTTACGCAAAAAATTGTGTGTTTAAATGTAATAAATACATACATATATGTTCACAGCGCTCAGAGCACCACCTGCTAATTAAGTGGCATCACTCACTTCTTGTTGTAAATTTTAGCACGCTGCAATCCTGTCACACATTACTTGTCACAATTGATTAAACAAAATGCATTCCGTTTTACAAGTATAATGTGAAGAAAATAACACGCATTCGGCCTTTTGTTCTATATTGCTTTTTATCGCTATTCGTTCGAGCGCAAAAATTCTTGCGCGACGACATACCATACGAGTATATTTTGTTGGTGACCCCCTCAAGATACCGCGCGAGTTACATTCCCCCACCCAGTAGCCATACACACTTACAATAAATTCAACTGACTCGTCACATTCCACACAAAAACGCAAACATATTTCCACATAAAAAGATACATACACACAAATTTAACTAAAGCATATACACTTACTTACAAACACAAAACATTTATCAGAACACACAATATATGCACAATTGCATATTTTGCAATCAACATTACATTTAGGAATAAGCATACAAAAATAGCTCGTAAGAAGTCAATCTTAAGATTCAATTAATGGAATAAACACGGTTAAGCTTTTCTTAAAATTCCGTTTCTGGCGCAGCCGCAGAGGATTTTTTTTGTTTGGTAGCGAGTCTACAATCATTTTGATAAAAATAAATATAAACTTTAAAAGAACAATAAAAAGTGAACAACAGTAAACAAATTATTAATACTAAATTAGAGAATTTGTGAAAAAAAGCCACAAGCATTTTCAGAAAAATAAATATAAACTTTAAAAGAACACCAAAAAGTAAACAACAGTAAACAAATTGTTAATAGTGAATAAGTAAATTTATGAAAAGAAGACACGAGCATTTTCATAAAAATCGAAACATGTCAAATGCACAGGAACTTGCTAATAAGAAGACAGGAAGAGGTTATAAACGCAATGCAGCAACATCAATCACAGATGCAGCAGCAAATGCAACTACAACAACAGCAGCTAAACA